CATAAATTCCAGTGAGACGCATTACAGATCTATACTGATGGCAGCATGGGTGTAGGGGCTGTCTCAGGTAGTGGAACTTTCATCAAAAAGGGGAATGGTATTATAGGATTTGTAAGAGAAATACTGACTACTGCTCAGTTTTTCGGGCAGAACTCTTTGCTATTGAGGAGGCTTTGGAATTTTGCTTTACTGATAATGTCAATACAGATATTTGGATATTCAGTGATATAGTTGCAGCTCTATTCAGCATCTATCTGAATGGTGAAGGCATGGTGACAGAACGACAACGAGTATTGTCCAGCTATTAAATAGCTTGAGTGCCACTATTAAGATCTTTTTTCAGTGGGTGTGAATGTCGAACGTGAATGTCTGCGGGAATGAGATTGCAAATGGTTTGGCCCGTGAGGGCACCTATTAAGATTCTACACATGGTGGCTGCTTTACTTTTTCAGAAATTGCTACTCAGGTCAAACAAGATATCAGTTCCTCTTGGAGGCAGGCCCCCATATATGAGTGGTATGAAGGAAACCATCCTGATACTGCTTTGCTTGGGACGGTCAGTAGGCGAGATGAAACTACTCTTGCTAGGTTTCACAGTGGACACACTTGAGCTTAACGACATGTGGAGGTTCTTAAAGTTAACCCTTCTTGTCTGAATTGCAATGTGATCCAAGCAGCTCCTGCCCACATCTTGGCTTGTATTGGTTGCCATAAGAGCCAGCTGCTCTCAAGTTCTGCTACAGTTCCTCAATGTTTAAAAACGCACGGGTTCATGGTCTTGATCTAGTTGATTCTATCTATCAAGTGGGATAAGAAACAACAACAAAACTTAAATTTCCGAAAACAATAATTCAAAATTTTGAGTACAAAGCATAAATAAAAATAAAACTTAAGCAGTCGTAGTATTTTTAACAATATTCTCTGAAATCTGAACAGTCCCCAAAGTTCCTACAATCATCCCATACGTAACAAGAGTACCCAATGCACTTAATAACATAGACTTTTTAACAACATAAATTTTCCATAGTGTCAAAGAAAACTCCTTATGTTTGTATTTTTTGCGCACTAACATCTTTAACTGCTTGGAATGTTGCGGAAACCACCCTGGTATCGACATAATAGAAGCTTTTGCCTCTTTAGCGGCTTGATTGGCTGCAGATGCTGACAACATAATCATCAGAAGCCACAATGAATAACATGTTACGGCACCCAGGAAATATATATAACACAAATAATCATCCTCAGACAAGACTATTAGAGCATAGAGAGTGTAAAAGATCCCAGCCAAATTACCCAATACATTGATAAATGCTGCATATGCCAGAAAATTATCCATACGTATAATCATTTCAATTAGCTTGTCATAGATTCGAAATATGGTATGATAATCACCTCTCACAATTAAAAATTTAGAACGTGAAATAAATTTAGTGAACAGGAATTTTACACAGCAGCATGCAAAAGAATAATAACCACCGAAAGAAGCATTTAAGGAACACAATACAAATGCAGTCGATACGATTTTTACATCCAAAATGAATGTAAAGTATTCTTTAAAATCTTCGGCAATGTAAGACGAATTATTGATAACGTGATGAGCATTGATGGTCATGATGGATTTCAAATATATTGTTCCATACGTCGAAGCAATGCTGCTTAAGCAAATACAATAGATGAATATTGTAATTTTTAACCCTCTCATGTTGCAATTGGTTTCCAGTATTGTAAAAAGTCCTGAAATCTGCTTCAGTAGTGATTTAATGTGTCTTCTGGATCGGTATAAAGAAATATGGGCTGACATTTGAAGAATAAAGGTTAAGAGCAACGCTGTTTCACGTTTTGCTTCATCAGATAAAATAATCCAAGCAATTTGGACCATCGTGCTGTAGAAAAGAACGAAATTAAAGAGATATTTCGGGGAATTATAAGCTAGAGTGAAAAGTTCCCATTTTTGACAAAGTTCAGTTAAAGGTAGAGTTTCCAATCCTTGAACATGAAATAGTATCATTAGAGGTAGGAAAATTTTCTCCATGGTGGTTTCAGACCTCTTCATAATTAAGCAGTATATTTTATCTTGCTTTCTTCAATAAAAAGGTACACAAATTTGAAATTTGGTTCTGAATTTTTAAATTCGATGAAATGTATCGAATGCACTTGGTTCCCAGTTCTTGTTCCAAGGTTTCTTTAATTTCTTGATTTTTGTTGTGAAGAGTTTGTTGAAGAATTTAAGTTTGATACGAAAATTTCGCCATAAATTATATTTAATTCGTTTTCAGTTTAAACTGTGATAGCAACATGCAAGCTGAATGGAATATATTTTTGAGATGTGTCACAAAAATTATTTATGGTTCATAACTCGAGGTGTAGCACAGACATTGAAACGCTCTTTGATTAAATTTTGAAATATTTCTGCAATTAATATACACTATTTAATTTTGTAGGATGCTAGAGTTCTTAATTTTCTTCTTTTTTGTAAAATCTTCTTTACCGATATAAAATTATTGATAGTAATTTTTACAATAAAATCAACTCAATCACTGTTTAAGATCCACATCCACAACGATATTCCAAAATCAATCAAGAATTCTCTGTTTAAACAGTAAATACGATTCTTTTCAAAATAACTGCCTTTAGTTCAGAACTTTAACAGGGAACTTAATTCACTATATACCTCGGTCAAGGAACAATACATATTAACTCACCTTCATTTCAACTTCTTGTAAGTACCTACATATTTGAGGCATTCTCCAAAAATATAATCAAAAAATTTCTAAGCTAAGTAGAACTGAAGTGAAATAATACACTATCACAAACATTTGCGTGTAATGAAAAATACATATTCACACCTTAATGTCACGAATTATTAATGAAACTACTGATTTTTAGGGACTGAAAACAAATAATTAAGTAATGAATTATGTATTTCTTACAATGATTCAAGTCACGAAAGATTGGATGGAATATTTTTATAATTATTTGTTAATGATATCAATATTACACCTTTAGATGTTTTACTGACGTTGCTTATTCAGTGATAATGAGCGTTAATATATATTTCTATCATTATTTTTACATGTGGCATAACATGTTTCTGTCACAATTCATTAATTGAATAATGCATTGTATTGATCTGCGCATAAATTATTTGGCGTATTATGTTTTAATGGAAGAGGATAGGCATTTTTTTGGAATCAGTTGCAGCAACCCACATTTCTATTTGTTTTTATTAATAGTATACTAGAACTTCATAATGGATTATTGGCGACGCACCTTGCAGCTCTAAACCCCAACTAAATCATGAGAACGTCACCTAATTTGGCATTTATTCTTTTCATTACATATTGCTACATGACAGCTTAAAATCCCAAATGATTATAAACTTGTAATAATTTTTTTGCTCAAGAACTGAAAAAAATTAGAATTTTTGACCATTATAATAACAGCTGCATCAGAAACTTCGCCATTGACTTAACATGATGAGGAAGTTTTGGGAATTTTTGAGAGAAAGATCCTAATGCTGCATTCTTAGTGGGATCCAAGTGAATTGATCATGGAGAAAAAAAAAGCTTACTAACAAGCTCTACAAAACTTACAAACAACCTGATATTGTAAAATTTGTCAAATTACAGAGACTTAAATGGGTTGGTCAAGTGGCTAGAATGAATGAAGATCGTTGCTGCAGGAAAATCTTTCGGGCAAAACTCAGGGGAAATAGACCTCGGGGCAGACCCCCGTTAAGATGGATTGATTGTGTCAAAAGAGACCTAAATACTTTAAAGATTAAAAACTGGAAAACAGTTGCCAAAAGTAGGAATGCCTAGGGAAAACTTCTGGAGAAGACCAGGACCCTCCCAGGGCTGTCGAGCTATTGCAGAAGAATGGCTTCCTCTCTCCTTTTATCTTTGAGTACATGTGCTTTAAGTGACTCATCTCCAAACTCAATGATGAAATGATGATCACCCTGTGTGACTCCCTTAAATAAATTCTATAGCTAATATAATTTGATACTTAATACACAGGATCTTAGTTTTCAAAAGTTAATTTTAGATTTTATTTCGAATCGAAGCACTAATGACTACTAAATTCCAAAAAATAAACATTTTTGAGGTATTGTTGTAGCAACCGTTGTGTTGTTGTTACTAATGCCAGCCTATCGGCAAAGGCCAGATCGAGGCCCACGAAATTCATCATGGCAAAGGGCTAAGTGACGCCTGTCGTTAGCTGTAACTTTGAGAGCACCATACAGGTGACAGTACGATTTGGCTCGATTCCACCCCAATTTAGAGGAAGAACACTCTGAAGGTGGTCAGAGGCCTACCACCTCTCTTCCTCTTCCACCAACCTCACGAAAGGACTTGCGGCTCGACGGATATTTAGAGTAACCCCATGCCGTGCAGGCACTATACATTTACAAACATCCAAGTCTTCTCCGGGATTCGAACCCAGTCCCTCCGGCACAGCAGTCAGCGTCGCTAACCACTATACTGGATGGGCGACGTAGCAGCCGTTGATTTCGAAATGTTAAAAGCAGATAATTTATAAGCAACCTACTCTCTCTAAACACGTTAACTGTAGTTTTTTTTGTAAAATTTGACACATATTTTTTTGAAAATTAACGAACGGAATGAAAAAAAGTTTTTAAGCTATTGAATACACTTATCAATAAAAAGAAGAATTACTTGTACTCTATAAAATAAACAAGTAATATATAAAAAAAAAAATTAAGTCAATTCCTACTTAGGTCAACAAAGAAAAAAAAATGTATTTTAGTTGCATTTTACTAAATAATTACAGTTAATATAAATATGTATATACATATGACAGAATCACAATATTAAGTAGCAAATAGAAAGCGATTTTCACTGCAACTTTCCATTTTCCTTTCTATTTAGGGTGTTGGACTATTATTTTTGTTTATTACTATTTATATTCATTAACTAAATTTAAATATTCCAATAAAACAGCATAGTAATAATAAATCACATTCTCAGAAATTAGACCATCTCAGGTGGGATTTGAATCCACGACCTTTGGATTAAAAGTACAACACGCTATTCATTACGCTACAGGGACACAACGAGAGATTTTCTTTCTTATATATGGTGTTGGACTATTATTTTTGTTTGTTACTATTTATTCATTTTTTAATTTAACTAATGAATTAATATTTGAAAAAACTGTATTAACATCGTGTCATCCACTACAAGTTTAAAAAAATGCATTTGAACTTGAATGGATGACTAGAAAGCATATTATTAACGATTGAACAAGATATATATGTATATATAGGGAAAGAGTGAACTAATAGTAGGAATTGAAAGAAGAAGATTAATTTTTAAGTGTCCATTTACAGTCGAACCTCTATATAACGATCCTCTATATTACGAAGTTTTCTATATAGCGAACTTTTTTCTGGAACCTTGAAGGTTTCACGATTTTCTTCGTAAAATAACCTCTCTATAGCGAAGTGCATTTTCTATATAACGAACTTTTTTCTCTTGTGATTCAATTTTTTCTCAACCTATTTTTAAAGTATTTCTGAAAAAATTTCAAATTATTCTCTCTTTAACACATTTTATGATGGTCATAAATATTGAACCAGTTTTATTAGATCCTAACTCGCCGAGAGCAATAGAGTTCTGGACGTTTCATCCAAGAAGTGCAACCCTTAACCCCCATTGCCCAGTTCACTAGAAACATCTTCGATATCCTCATTCATCCTCAGTGGAGTTGTCCCCGTGTTCTTCTTATAAAATAATGTATGTTTAATATTACTTGTGTGCTTTAAATTATAAAAAATGTTCTTCAAATTCATTAATTTTAGTATAAAATTATTTTCTTAATATTGAAAATATAGTGAATTCTTCGACATTTTTTCCCTTGTTTTCCTCGCAGTTTAACTTTCTTTTTTTCTGGTTTGATGGGTAAGATTTAAGAAAATAAACATATATTAATTTAAAAATGGTGTGAATAATTATTTTTTTTAATATATAGTGTTCATGAATTTAAAATTTGTTTAATGTGGTTTATAAAGTATAGTAAAAGATGAACCTCTATATAACGAATTTTCCATATAACGAACTTTTTTCCGGGATTTAGCGA